AAATGAGCTTATCAGTGGGATAATTCTTTACATCCTTGTTGGCTTGGACAGCAACCACCTTCATCTTCCATGCTGAGGGCAGTCCCCTCAACACCTTCAGGTTGATCTCCTTGGTGGTGAGTTCCTTGCCAAGCTCAGAGATCTCTCCAGTGAGAGTGAGGAGCCTGTCATACATCTTGGAGATGCTTTCACCAGGAAGAAGTTTGAAGTCATCAAACTTCTTGTTGGCTATGGTTAGTTTGTTGTCCTTCTCTTGCTCATCACCAGCTCCAATGAGCTCAAGAGTATCCCAGATTTCCTTAGCAGTCTTGCACTTCTTGATTCTGTTGAAGTACCTATCATCAATGGACTTGTAGAGGATGTCCTTAGCAATATTGTCTAGGTTGTACTTTCTCCTCTCTTCAGTGGTCCATTCTGACTTGGCTTTACTGATCATCTGGGGTCTGGTGTTGTCTATAGCATGCTCAGGATTGACCTTCTGGAAGCTTGTGAAGGGGCCAATGTCTAGAACTTCCCACATCTCATCATGCAGGGCACAGAGATGTGCTTTCATCCGGATCCTCCAGTCATCAAACTTAAGATCTGAAAACATAAGATTCTTGGACAAGGAGTGATCCATTATATCAGATAGAAATGAGGTAAAACAGAAAAACAAGTGGATCTTTGTTCAACAAATAACCTAAGAGATTATTAGAACAAGGAGGCTCTGATACCACTTGTTGGTCCCGGTTATACTGGATACAGTCTAGAGAGGGGGGGGGGTGAATAGACTGTATTGGTTTTTAGCTTTTTAGACTAAGTACCAGATTTACAGAATAGCCTGTTCTGTTGACAGAACAGACTGGCAGCGGATGGGGTTCTGGTAGGGAGTTCTGTTGATTTAGCCTCAGAGAAGCAAAGGCAGTAGGCCTTCTGTTAACTCGTAGAACAAGTTCTGCTGAACACAGATACCAAGTCCAAGGAGTTAGACAGTGCTATCTAAGTGCAAATATTAAAGCAGTAAGTAAACGACACCAGGAATTTTTATAGTGGTTCAAGGAACAACTTGTTCCTCTAGTCCACTGTTCCACTAAGCTGTAAAAACTTCCGTTTACAAAGCCTTAGTCCTAGCACTTAAGAAGCACTCCACGTCTTCTTCAAGTCTAGATGTCTCCTGGGATGCACTGCCTGGCTTCCTTTAAGACTGGTCCTTTCACTGAGCTTCCTGGAAGTATCACCACTTCGCTACTCCAGTTACTTGGACGTCCTTCTTGTAGCAAGAAGAGTTTCTGTTGAAACAAGGGTTCCTCCAACTAGCTTCGTTACAAAAGATTTGTATGTGATGAGTTTGAAGAGTTGAAGAACACTTGGAACTTTGCTTGAGTTGGAAAAAGTATTTTTCCAACTTCTGCCTTCTCTTGTAGAAGATAATGAGTTTGAATCTCAAGGAGGCTTTTTGCTTTTCAGAGTTTGAATATCTTGTATGAAGAGTTATAGCAATGTGTAGCAAAAGTTGCAAAGTTATTCGGTTGTTCTTCGTAGTGTATCTTTTATACTGAGGTTGTCTTCCCGTTGGAGGAGTAGGAGGACAACTGCATTAAATGAACGATCAGTTTACTTGACTAGTAGAGCCCGGTAAAGTTAGCGGGTTACTATTTTGGGATAAAGTATTCCTGACATTGCGGCCAATCATCTGCAATTACTCTACGTAGCATGGGGTGCATTTAATGAGCATTTAATGCGTGCACTGTAGCTTTTCCGTTTCATACTCCTAGCCGTTGAAGGAATCTTTTAGTTGACTTCCCGGTTTAGTGAAATTCTTCTAAGTGTCAGACCTTCTGGTGTCTTTATCTGAGAGTAGAACAGAGGAGGTCTGGAGCACTTCTATTGGGAGAGTATCCAACAGAGACCCAGAAGGGTTTCTGTCAGAGTGAAGACTAACAGAGACCCTGAGGTCTTCTGTTCTGGAGCAGAGAACCAAAGGTCCTCTGTTTCAATAAAGCCTTACGAGGCTCTTCTGCTCTTGGAGCCCTTCTGCTCAGAAGGTCTTCTGCTCTGAAGGCATTCTGTCAAGTCGATTACTCTAAGAACTTTACAAAGTAAAAATTCTAATACATAATTTCTAAAGGGGTACTCTAAAGTCCTAATTAATCTAGCATCATCAAAATCTAAATACAATTATTCCTTACAGCCCCTTTCCTTTATACTGCCTGCGTCCCTTAAAACTTTGCCAACTTTCTTTTTTTGGATGTCTTACTAACTTTGCCACTTTCCCATTTAAGTAATGAATTTGTGGTTCCAGTTAGTTCTCTCTCCTCTGCACAAACCTCAACCACATAGTTTTTACTTTATTAATCCCCATGCCGGTCAAACATGGCAAAGTTTTAAGGGATGGAGGGAGTAGTATGGAATACGCAGTACGTACGTGAATAGCATGTTCACTCGCCTTCTTCGTACAATGCGCCATAAGAATGAAAGAAAATGCAAGCTTACCTCGATGAACGGCGGAAAGGTCACGGTGCGTAGCAGCAACCACTCCGGCGACGCAGCAGCTACAGTTCCTCCCTTTATCTCCGGCGTGAAGGACAGTCCGGCTAACTCCGAGGATCTTCTTCCCCTCCGGCAGCGAAGTGAACTGCACTCCGGCGTCCTTCTTTACTTCCAACTACTACATTCGGTCTCTCTTTTAGTCTTAGAGACTACGTTTGGAATGTTTTGGATGGTTTTGGTTTCTTTTTGGAGTCAAATAGATGTGCCGGACGAGAGTGCCGGACATGGGTATATATACACAGACAGATACGCATAGCTCTGCCCGTTGGCTTCTGATGGTATATATGTTTAAGGATCTTAATTATGCTCTTAATGATGATACTAATCAGTTTATCAACTCCCTTGCCCAGTTGCCGGTTAGTTTTCAGGGTTAAATACGTAGATATTACTAAAACACAACAGTTTTCCTAATGTATGACTAAGTATGTTTTGTATGTTTCGTATGACTGCATATCATTAAAATCATGGACGCATGAATGGTATAACTAGGGAAATAACAATAATACCCTTATAACTAAATAAGCATTGAGAAAGAGAAGAGTTACGGTTTGAGAAACATGCGCCAATAATTATGGAAGTAGATGTTGACTGGTATGCATATGCAGTAATTAGAGGACAATAAATAAATGGGCAATAAATTCTGACAATAACATAAATTTACAAATGACAGTAAATATGTAATGACAATTATATTGACATAGGTCATAGGCAGTAACTTAAGGACAATAAATAGAATATTTATATTCATCAGTAAATCCTTGATTCAATATATGATCCATAACTGAAATAGATAGTAAACATAAAAAGGAAGTAAATGTGTAATAGGGCAGTAATTATGTATGAGGGCAGTAAATGGCATGGATGAGAATAACTTTAGTTATGCCTAAAATTAAAAATACGCAGGCATTAGGAATAGAATCGATCATGGATTCCAAAAATATAAACAGTGCAAGTGCATACCAATAATTAAGGAAGCGGTTACCATATTAAATTAACTCCTTATTTTTAGGAATACTAATTCATAGACACCCTAATTAATTGGTACTTTAGTTGTGCCTAAAATTAAAAATACGTAGGCATTTAGTCGTGCATATCAGTTAGGCGACTAAATAGGAACAACTAAATACTTCATATACTTTATGTATAGGGCAGCCGTTGGAATATTAAAAAAAAAAGAGAATGGTCATGCACGTGAGATGATAAGTAATAGTCATATATCGGGAATAATAACTATAGAGTCATATATTGGGAAAGTCATATTGTTTTAGTCATATTGTGGATAATTTTCTCTAGTTTTCAGCGTCCGTTACTCAAGCTTTAAGTTTGCATTTTTAATACTCCCTCCGTCTCTTAAAACTTTGTTATCTTTCCTTTTTGGGACGTCTCAAAAAACTTTGCCAGTTTTCCTTTTAATCAATTATTTTGTGGTTTCTGTTATTTCTCTCTCCTCTGCACAAACTTCAACCACGCAGTTTTTATTTTATTATTCTACGTGCCAGTCAACTTTGGCAAAGTTTTAAGGGATGGAGGTAGTAATAATGAATGGCGGACGACGTTATGATTATCACGTAGATATCATGCATGTATGTATGCCATGCGTACATACTTACGTTCTATATGCATAGCGGTTGATAATTATTATGTATGATACGTTGGTGTGCATTAGTGCATATACTATCGTATTTACTAGCCCATATTATTACTAGATAGATTCCATAGTATCTTTAAGGTACCATACCTTTGTTCACATGGACCAATCAGAATGATGTAATTGAATTATTTAAATCTAAATTAAAATTGATATAATGATTTGAACCAATCAAGTGAGTGGTAGGTACGGTACCCCATTTTTTAAATGGGTACCGGAGTTGTCACCTTATTACTATGTACACGTAGGTAAGTAGACATACATATATGCAGGTTTGTGTGAGGGATATACGGGTATATATGTATGGGATACAAGTGTACATTATGTATGTATGTGTATTACATACGTATGCATGTAACATGATGTATGTATATGGTATATACGCATGCATGGTCTCCATATTATAAAGTGTATTACCTAGCACAATATTAGTATGTATAGATGCACTAACTCATCTTTATTACTTACTTTATGAAGTATATTTTTTTTGTTTTTGTTTATTTTATAAGATAATTTATATCTGGTTTATTTTAATCAGATATTTTATATTTGTTTTATTTTTGGCAGATAAATTTTATCTGATTTTTTAGGGTGTCACATTCCATCCTCCTTAAAGAATGCTTCGTCCTCGAAGCATATAAGCTAAGACGAAAGAATTCCTAATGTTTTACTAATACGGGTGTTATAATCTATCCCCCTTAAAAGATGCTTAGTCCCGAAGCTTAAACTAAGGTCAAATGACAAAATTCTTAAATATTACATTCTACCCCCCTTAACGAGAGGTTACGTCCTCATAACAAGAACATTACTAGTCAAGAAATAAACATTTTTTATTATGACATTAGTTTTAAATAATTCCTTTAAATAAATCCTTTAAATAAATCCTTAAATAAACATTTATTTATTTAAAGTTGATAATTCCTTTAAATAAATCATTATTTAAATGTATTTTTGGGCATGAAAAATGGGGGTGTTACACTCCCGAGCCTTAGCGACAGCCTCTTCCTTGGCCGCTTCGGCTTCCTCGGCAGCTTTCTTGGCAACCTCGGCAGCAGTCTTTTCAGCCTCGGCCCTGGCCTCTACTCTGGCAGCCTCCAGCTTCTGCTCCGTTTGCCGGAGGGTCTCTTCCAGCCTAGCCATATCCCTCACAGCGGCGGCATTATCTTTGACAAGCCTCTTCAAGGTCTCGTCCTGTTCCGCCTTCTGGAGACGCAATTCCTCCACCCTACAGATCTGCTCGCCGAGGCCGATGCAAGCCTGTTAGCAAACAAAAAAAGGCAAGAGTTAGACCACCATGCAAACTACGCTAGGGAAAACTAACCAAGGAAACAAGACGAGGGGGATCTTACAGTGAGAGAAGCTCGGAGGATCTTGGAGTCAAGGGTGTCATCCTCAAGCCGGCTGAGGGCTGCCTTATCCAACGAAGGGGTGGCACCCCTCAGGAACTCCTTCGGGTCCACCGTGCCGTGCACGATGGCAGTCCCCTTTATGAGGGAGAACTGTATATTCTCCCGGGGCAAGGCCACCTCACCCATATGTTCCGCGGAAGGCTTGGAGGGGGTCGTCGCCGCCACGACCAGGGGATTGGACGAGGAGTGCTCATCCACAACCACGACGGGGGTAGCCTTCTTCTCATTTGCACCTGCGAGACAAGGGAAATAATTATACCGAGGGGATCAATCACAAAGACAACAATACAAATGAAACTACAAAAAATTTCTAAGTACAAAATACTAGAGCCCTCGGGAATCACCTCCGGACTCTCATAAACACAATCTATGGGGGGTATCTTTTGTGCTTATCGGAACCCTCCGGCTTTTTGGCAAGCTTCCTCCCGTTCTTCTCGGGAGCAACGCCCTCTACCTTCAGGTGCCTCCGGAAGCTGTCGCGAAGAGGGGCAGGGAAGGGATTCTCCGTCAAGCGGATGTAACAGAACTTATCCTTCCATCCTTTGTGGGACGAAGGGACATCATCGAACGGCCTGAACTCCGAGACTTGCTGTAAGTTGGCGAAGCCTCCGGCGTTTGAATCCCCCCCGGCAGAGATTGAAAGAAAGGAAGCCGGCCACATAAGAGTGGATGTTGGGTGTCAACTGACAGGGGGCCAGCTTCACAAACCTTAGATATTCCAACAAGAAGGGGTGGAGTGGAAACCAGCGCCCCAATTCCACCGACTGAATGTGGACGGCAAAACATCCATCGGGCATAAGCAACAAAACATCATCTGGCTCTGGTTCCACCACGCGTGCCGAGGGGCCTGCGAAGAACTGCGTCACTTGGTACTCAACATCAATCGCCCTCGTCTTCACATCGAGGGCCGCGGTGTTCAGAAATGAATAGCCTTCGGGGATGCCCACCGGCTTCCCAGCATTAACGGCGGCTTGCCTTTTCTTCGGTGCGGCCCTCTCCTTCCTCATTTTCTTACCTGGGCCATCCTGAGAGGGTTCGGGTAGAGAGGCCGGGAACTACTCGCCTTACCTGCATGGCGTGGGGGGAGGACAGCGATGGTGACCTTCTGTCTCTCCTTCTCCTCCTCCTCCTCAGCAGTTTGCATGGCGAGGGCGAGCACCTCATCGTCCACAACTTGCTCAAAATCCTCAGCCTCAGCTTCAGCTACAAAGTCCTTTTGCACCTCCTGTGTTATAGCAGAGTCGTCATGCAACGAGGCCTCCCCACTTGCTGACCCCTCATCCGACCAAGTCTCAGATTGCACCGAAGGCTCTCGGAAAATGTCTTGTGAATCGTTGGCTGATGACATCCTTCAGGATTGTTGAAGAAAGAAGTAGAGGGAAAGCAGGGTCCTAAGGGACTAACACTAAATCTAAGGCTGGTTAAGCAGATTATGCAAGAAGTGTGAATAACGGAGGAAGAACTGACCTCAGAAACTTGGGTTGATCGACTTAAGCGCTTTCTCTCTCTAGAAAAATTTTGGCAGAACTTTGCTACAACAAATCGCACAACAGATATGAGGCCAGGCCAGGGGTATTTATAGCCTCCCCGCTTAGAGTTTGGGCCGAGATTTGGGCCTCCAGTTAAAGGCCCGTCACCCCTAGCCGCAGCCTCAACCAACCGGTGCCGCCCGCCCAATACAGGCCAACCAGCAAGCGCCACGTGGACACCTTCTCCAACGGTCATATCCCAACGGCTATTTTTGAAACACTGGAATGCCCTCAACTGACACCCCTCAAACAGCAAAAGGATAGCCCTCGGCTGTCACCTTCAGAACCTTCCATCCAGAGTTAATCCTCAGCACGAAGGCGTGTGGGATTGGGGGCTTTCCCCGGCCAACACCGGAACAATGACTTGCATTCATCCACAACGGTCCCGCCATCGGATCACCAACGGCCCTTGGTCACAGGCGGCCTTCAACCTCTCAGTATGGCGCCCTCAGGTCACAGGCAGCCCTTGGCTTCTCGCGGCTGCTTTCCAACAGATAATGAATGGCCCTCGGCCTCAGCTTTATCCTTCACCTCAGACCGAAGGGTTCACCTTTTTACTTCATTTTGGGGGCATCGGGTGCACTCTTTTTCCCTCATTAGGATTTTTCCCACAGGGTTTTTCCTAATGAGTTTTGTAACGAGGCATCTCCCCAAAATGAAGCAAAAGGTGTCAGCCCTCGGCTCCCCACTGAAGACATGCATTACTGTACTCCTTTTCACCCCATTACATGTTGAAAATCACAAAAAGTTAAAAGTTTTCTCAAGGCACCAACAAAAGCCTTCAGTCCCAAAATGTTGGAGATTGGAGGGCTGCCCTCGGCAAAACACGCAAACACAAATGTTTCACTACTCTACAAACTACAACAAAGCAGTCGTCAGCAACTTCACAACATTTACTCCTATTTCCCTCGAGAAGCTCTCGGCAAAAGGAGTGGGGGACTCTTGATGGAGTATATGGCCAAGGAACTCCGGACCCACATACTTCCACTACTACGATCAGACCCAACAAATCCAAATGGGCCAAGCCCAGCGAACAGGACTCCAAGCAGCTCATAATACACAAGGCGTGCCTTCGGCCCCATGCCCGAAGGCTTTGCATTCATGAACTTAAGTCAATAAACAACACAGGAAAACAAGGCTTGAAAACCAAGCCTTCGGCACATACAACCTTCGACACATAATGCCCCCGGTATGTGGAGTCGTCGGCACATACAGCCGAAGGCGCTCTTCTCGATAAGATCAGCTCTCCCACATGCGCTGAATCACCGCGTCAAGTGCAATGTCACATCCAACCACCACATTTAATGCGGTGCACATGCGAGTGCCGGTGTCACCCCGATTGAGGAGACCCTCGGTTGTCAGATGCTTGACACGTGTCCCTACCTAGCATTTATGGCTACTATAAATAGCAGCCACTTTCCATTGTAATTGAGACACAACTTTGTATTCGAATATACACTCTCTCTCTTACTTATTGCTCTGACTTCTCTCTAGGTTATTCCCCGAAATAACCCCTCGGTTAAGTTACCTCGGATACATTATCCATCAATATCATAATAGATGTGCGTGCTTGTTGGGTTTTGTTCCTTAGTTGAAATGTGCACGAAGTGGATTCCTGTGGTGCCATTATATGTGTTCCATCACCGAAAGTGGTCTCTATGATGCCAACCATTACTCATCATCTACTGCCAAAGTGAATTAGTCTACTCCTGGCAATGCTTCTCTTAAAGTATCTGATGCGTAGCCAAGAGTTCTTTGTCTACTTATTGTGTACAAAACTTATTTTAAATCATGCTCGGTTGTCTTTCCGTTTTCACCATTTAATGAAACATTGAAAACTAGATTGAAATACATAATTGTTGTGAACTTTAATATATTACATTTTGTTTCTTTTTTTCGAAAGATGTTGTTTTTTGTTGCATCATTATGTTTTTATAGTTGATTTTGATTTTTGTTGTTTGCTTAGGTTTTTTCCTATCTTTGCTACTTGTTTGAAGTAAAAAATCATATATAAGTTTATATTAAATCTTATATTTGAATTTATAAATATAAATCAAGCACATGAAACATAAAGAAACAACAAAAAACCAAAATTTCAGAGTTTTCAACAAAAGGAAACAATAAGAAACAAAAACAAACATCAAAATTATATAAGAGTATTTTAAATTTTTAAATATTAAAAAAATTGAATTAGAATATTCATATTTTTATTTTTTAAAATTGTTTCAATGTTAAAATTTAATTTTATTGCAGGGTTTTATATTTTTCATGCCTTTTAGTTTAATTGGAATGTCTGATTTTATATTTTTATAAGGAATTCTCTATTTACATTTTAATTTATAGAACTTAATTTGATTTTGTAACCTTTTCCAATTTTATATGTTTACAGTTTTATGTGCTTTTTACATAGAGTATGTTAACACTTTTTTATAAGCTTTGTTTACTTTTTCTTGATTTAGATTTAAAATTAGATTTTTGTTTGTAGTGTTAAAATTTAATTTCATTTTTTTGGTTTTGAGTTTTTTAATTTTTTGATTTGAGTATTTTTATTTTTCTTTTTTACGGAGTACTTTTTCTAATAGTTTCACCATTTTTATTTTTTTTCATTATTCTTTTTAAATTTTTGTTTTGTAGTTTCGGTTTAAAAATCAAAATAAAAAATGAGTAGTCGCACTTTTACTAATTTATCTACGGAGCATTATTGGATGACTTCCAGTATGCTAACTCACCTACACTTAAAAGGAGTGAAGATCAAACGTGAAAAGATTGATTCTTTAAAAAAGTCATACTTAACGAAACAAGTTCTGTAAAATCGTTTCTTTTTCATTTTATCATTCTTCAATTAGATTAGATTATGTTTTTAGTTTTTTGCACTCATACGATTTAAAAGAGGTACCGAATGTTGTATAAAATGTGTAAATAAAAAAGAGATAACTCGTGAAAAGTGTGAAGGAATATAAAAAATAGTAAAAAGTAAATGAAAATGTAAGGCGTGAGTCGCAAAAAATCTATAAAGTATATGAAACAATAATATAACGACGATGAGTTGTTATGCCATCGGAGCAGCCCACAATGAGCATGGTGTTTCCACAACTAAAACATGCGGGAATAGTAGTCTTTTGTCGCAATAGCGGGATGATGTAACACGCATGTAAAGGAATGTAACTCGCATTTATATGAAATGTAATTGCAGGTGTTGAGTTTTAGTCTCGTGGATCCGGAAGCCCAACATAACTTCGGATATTGAGGAGCATAAATTCTGTATAAAAGTGAATAATAAATGTAAAAGTGTATGAACTAACTATTTTTACGTGGAAACCCGGAAAGGTAGAAAACCACAAGACTTTTTAGGCTAACGTCCAAGCCCGCTATTTCTCATTAATATGCTCTCCTCACCATTTTACATTTTTTTTTAACGTGAGAGCAATTTGAGCAATACTTTTAATCCAATGTGATGCTCTATGAAGTTTGTATATAGCACTTTTTCACATTGGCAGAATATTTATGAAACTGCCACCACATTTTTTTGATATTGGCATGTTTTGATCAAAGTATTAAAAAACGTGAAACAGAAGAACCTCATAGTGCGTCAAATTGGCTAAAGGTTATACAAAACCAAAAAGCATGGCAATATAGCTCTTGAATCCAAAACCATTAGCTTCTCAGAACCATCCATATACTCCACGGAATCGAAACTTTCAATTTCTTCTTCCGTGCTTACTATAATATTTCTGTTATTGCAGTAATGAGCAACCCGGCCAGCAATAACTCTGCACACCACGATGGCTGCCCTGGTGGTTTCACGGCTGCATTTCTCAACTCTTCTATGCGCTCTCCAACTAGTCTAAGAAAGCGTTATCGATGACCCCTCCATTGTTGCTACATCATCACTCTTATAATTACGACCTGTGATGATTCTACAACCCCCACAACTCCTCCTCTTACAGGGCTTCGAGAATTGATCTAACCCTAATGAGCAAGTAATGGCAGTGCCTCTGAACCTCAAAACCTCATGCCCATCGTCTCCCACTCCACTCTCTGTTCTCTTTGACTTCACCATCTTTCTATACTCTTCAAACCTCTTGTAAACTTCTTCACTTTGATTCACTCTAAAAACCTTTTGGATTTTGTACCCAACACTATTCTTCCACCCTGCCCGAAAAACTGCCTCCACAACGCTCAATGTGGGATCCCCTCCGGTGAGCTCTTCTAATAGTTGAATCTCTTTGTTCCTTGGAAAAGAAAGAACCTGTTTAGTATGGGAATCTAAACACTCTTGGGGTTTAGGGTTCTTTTTGTTCTTTGGAGGAGGAGACTTGTGCATTTCTCTTTTAGGAGAAACGACACTTGGCTTTGGCTTTGGTTTGAAACATCTAATGGTTGAACTCGGGTGACAAAGTAGCAGTGCTAAAGAAGTCATTATGAGACATTTCTCAGACATTGCGCTTCTACTCCCTCTACATTTGGATTGAAGGCCAGTTATGACTCCTCCTCACCATTTTACATAATACAAATATCTTCTCTCCATTAATGGAGTTTCCTAAGCTCTAAGGGAAAGAAGAAGCCTGGGGAAGAAGCCCTCCAAGGGAAGAAGAGCCAAAGAACCCAAAATCCCTCCAGGAGGGAACGGCCAAAACCATCCTTTACATGGAAGCAATGCTTCCTATTTATAGAAGGGGGTGGGGTTTTACTCTTATGGTCCAGCAGGCCGGTTGGGCCTTAATGGGCCCAATTCCTATCCTAGCGGGCTGGTTATGCCGAAGACGGGCCGGGTAGGCCTAAATGGGCCTTGCTGACCGGGCTTCATACCGGGTGATGACTTGGGCCTCTGAACAGTAATAGGCCGGGATAATATTCCCCAACACAAGTCCCCCAGTTTCTTGAGTAGTGAGCTTGCAAATCTACTCGAGAAAATATACTCTTGCTCGCGCCCTTTTCTGCATCCCTGAATCAGTCTTTGAATAATCTTGGGCGCAAGGCATGCATAATCCATAAATGAGGTGCAATCCCGTACTAGGCACGACGGCGTTGTAGAGCCAGCCACTCGTGCTGCATAAAAAACGGCGGTCGTCATCCTAGATCAAGGATGGACGAGCCCGACCGTGAGTCAGGCACGACGGTGTTGTGGAGCCCATTCGTGCTGCATAAAAAAGCGGCGGTCGTCATCCCAGATCAAGGATGGACGAGCCCGACCGAGAATCAGGCACGACGGCGCTGTGGAGCCCGTTCGTGCTGCAGAAGAGCGGCGGTCGTCATCCTAGATCAAGAATGGACGAGCCAGACCGAGAATCAGGCACGACGGTGCTGTGGAGCCCGTTCGTGCTGCATAAAAGCGGCGGTCGTCATCCTAGATCAAGGATGGACGAGCACGACCGAGAATCAGGCACGACGGTGCTGTGGAGCCCGTTCGTGCTGCATAAGAAAGCGGCGGTCGTCATCCCAGATCAAGGATGGACGAGCCAGACCGAGAATCAGGCACGACGGCGCTGTGGAGCCCGTTCGTGCTGCATAAGAGCGGCGGTCGTCATCCTAGATCAAGGATGGACGAGCCAGACCGAGAATCAGGCACGACGGTGCTGTGGAGCCCGTTCGCGCTGCATAAAAGCGGCGGTCTTCATCCTAGATCAAGGATGGACGAGCCCGACTGAGAATCAGGCACCACGGTGCTGTGGAGCCCGTTCGTGCTGCATAAAAGCGGAGGTCGTCATCCCAGATCAAGGATGGACGATCCTGAACGAGAATCAGGCACGACGGCGCTGTGGAGCCCGTTCGTGCTGCATAAGAGCGGCGGTCGTCATCCTAGATCAAGGATGGACGAGCCAGACCGAGAATCAGGCACGACGGTGCTGTGGAGCCCGTTCGTGCTGCATAAAAGCGGCGGTCATCATCCTAGATCAAGGATGGACGAGCCCGACCGAGAATCAGGCACGACGGTGCTGTGGAGCCCATTCGTGCTGCATAAAAAGTGGCCCTTGCTGTGATATGGACTTATGATGCCATGGTCATTGCCATGGTCCTTACATTGCCATAGTCTAAAGGAATGGATCTGACTCGACTCGACTTGACCTGGACATACATGGACTTGACTCGATTCGACTCGACAAACATGGACTTGACTCGATTCGACTCGACAAACATGGACTCGACTCGACTCGACTGGCCATCCTCCAATCCCATAGTTCCGATGATCCAGGCCACCCATACTAAAGACAGAAAGCAGTTTCTGATGATCTGGCGCAGGTTGGCAGTTTTCAGTCTCTATCTTCCCCGATCAGGGATCATTCAGTAGCATAATCTCTTGCTCAAGTTGTATTACTCTTGATTTCTTTTGTACTTTCCGGCGAGTAGTGTTTGAAGAATAAAACTCAATTCTTTCCCCAATCTTGTTACTTCATTGTTTTTTTTTTCTTTTTGTATTTTTCAAACCCGAACTCCTAGTTCCTTCGTTTTTAGGGTTACCAGACGCGACTTGGATTCGTCCACACTCATAATTCTGACACCCTTCCCAAGCTGGTTTTGATCCCTCTGTTCGGTCATAAAGCCAGGGTCGACATATTTGGGCTGAAATATCTTCCTCCAAACCATTCGTCCTTCGGTCATCTACCGCGAATTCTGATTCTGCGGATGACAATCCAGGTTACCGAACATCATTTGTTTTTACCATATTTGTTCTGACACCTTTCCCAAGCCCGTTTTGATCCCTTTACCGTTCGTGATTCACGGGGTCAAAATTCTTTTAGCTGAGGTGAATTCCTCCAAGCCATTTTTATCGTGACCACAGGGTCAAACTCTCAGCTGGGACAGGGGCTCCCTCCAAACTGTTAACCCGTTCGTCATTCGGTCATCCGGAATGATCCCACGTGTTAACAAGCTGAGGTGAGACTATCTCCCTTCCAAATTTGTTCTGACACCTTTCCCAAGCTCGTTTTGATCCCTTTATCGTTCGTGATTCACGGGGTCAAAATTCTTTTAGCTGAGGTGAATTCCTCCAAGTCGTTTTGATCGTGACCATAGGGTCAAACTCTCAGCTGGGACAGGGGCCCCCTCCAAACTGTTAACCCATTCGTCATTCGGTCATCCGGAATGATCCCACGTGTTAACAAGCTGAGGTGAGACTATCTCCCTTCCAAACCCATAATTCCGATGCATTCCGAACTATTCTCTCTGGCTCGTATCATCCATATTAGGGGTCTGAGGTAACCCTTTTCAAACTGTAAGCAAGGTCACCGGATCGGGTCATTCCTTATTTATAGCTAAAAGGGCGACTCGCTTCCAAATCAAGTTAATGACTGAGGCGAGATTTTTCAAAACCATAGTTCCGATTCCCCGGACGACAATCCGTACCTTATCCGAACGTCGCTCGGTTCGTCCATATCTTACAGTCTTGACACCATCTCCAAGCCGTTTTGATCCCTTTGCCCGTACGTAATTACGGGGTCGAATTTAGCTAAGTTGACGACTCAGCTCCCTCCAAACTGTTAACTCGTTCCTCATTCGGTCATCCGGAATGATTTTGCGTGTTAAAAAGCTGAGGTGAGAATCACTGACATCAAACTCCAGGCCATTTTGATCCCTTTAACAATGCGTAATTACAGGGTCAAAACTCTAGCTGAAATAATGGCTCCCTCCAAACTGCTAATATGTTCCTCATTCGGTTGTCCAGAACGATTCCCATGTTAACCGCTGAGGTGAGACTATCTGAGTGTCAAACTCCAAGCCGTTGGCTGAGAATGACTTTCCTTCCATGCTGTTAACCCGTTCGTCATTCGGTCATCCGGAATGACCGTGTTAACCATGGGCTGAGATTTTCTGAGCATCGATTCTTCAAGCCGTTTTGATCCCTTTATCCGTTCATAAATCTAGGGTAAAAACTTTCTTAGCTGAGAATGATTTTCCTTCCATGTTGTTAACCCGTTCATCATTCGGTCATCCGGAATGATCGTGTTAACCATGGGCTGAGATTTTCTGAGCATCGATTCTTCAAGTCGTTTTGATCTCTTTATCCGTTCATAATCTTAGGTAAGCAACTCTAAAAAGACTACTGAAACTACCAACATTATGGATGCACCAAAAGCAGCAAGTGATAAGAAGACAACTGCACATGACCACAAAGAAAAGAAGAAGAGAAAGAAGCGGAAGACTCACCCAGAGGAAGAAGTTGAAAAAACTAGCTCAATAAGGCCGATCTTCAGTTGCCGGACCAGTTATTGGCCCAGAGATTTTTAACCGATCAGTGGTGACCCAGTCCATAGTTAATATGGTAACCCCCAATGCAGACAGCTAAGTTCGCCCCACATCTTTTCCATTTGCCGATCGGGACTCCCAGAGCAATGCCCAAATGAATCTCACCGCAAATCTCCTCAGCTTTCCGATCGGGACTCCCAGAGTAAAGCCCAAATGAATCTCACCACAAATCTCCTCAGCTTTTCGATCGAAACTGTCAAAGCAAATGCCCAAACGAATCACCCCATCTTCCTTGTTTGCCGAACGGGATTCGAGGCGGTGCTCAAGGGCCAGGAAGGACATGAGCTGCAGTCCTGCCGAGCGGGAGCTGTGAACTCATGCAGGGAAGACAGATGGAGGTCTGGGTTGAGCGGCTAGATCCAGCATCCGTTGACTCCCTCAGAGCAAGAAACTACCAGTCTCTGAAAACCGGACGGGAAATCTTGGACGGCCAGGAAGATCTCGAGCTGCAATCCTACCGAGCGGGAGCTATGAAACCGGGCAGGGAAAAAAGGTGGCGGTTTGGGTCGACAGGCTATTTGTTATTTCTAGTCGGATAAAGAGGCGATGCGCCGGTCGTTGTTCTGCCGCTGATGGGCAAGCCTTCCATGGTTTTTGTCCAGAGACCGGGCGGCACTCCCTCTTGATTTACCGATCGTGAGGTGATGATCTGCTGGGGCCATGGGGAGATTCGTAGGGATAGAAATAGCTACGAAGACCGTTCGGCTAAATATATGTTGGATTCTTTCCCTGCTTGAGGCTGCTGTCCAAACCCCGTTAGGGGTCTGACTCAATCAATTGTGATGGGCCCTACTTATTCAAGGCACGATCGGGTCTCTCAAGAGTGCAAACAAGGAAGGCCCCTGGCCGATCGGGAGTTCATTCAGTGCAGGAAGTCCCTCTACAACTTGCTCTGGCTATTCAAGCTCACTGGCCGCCAACTTGTTCGGGATGCGGTGGTCAGCTTCCAGTTTGGGCAGTAAGCGAGTAAACCAGGCCGGAGTTCGGGTTGGTGAGATCATCGGAAGGGGGCCCTGCGCAATCCCAGGTTAGCAAACGTCATGGTCCCGTTCGAAGATGGGATTCTTTGTTCAAGCCCGGACCCCTTGGTCGAATTGCCCGATATGTAGCCTTCATCCTGAAATTCCCGTTCGGCAGATTGACCCGAAGATCCACTGGTTAGTGTGTTTGGACTGCCTTTGTTTATCCATTTTTTCTATCTGCTGGGGGAACATCCCGTTCGTCAAATAATGTTTCTGTCTTAATCTTGAATCATGGGTCAGATTCAGGAATTTCATTGGTCTTTGCATCTTTGAAGTTTCCTGTTGGATTTGTAAATCGTTTGGTGAGTTCAGGAGGATGTGGTTTCCTGTTCTGACTTTTTTGATCTGCCATCTCCGAGATGTAACCAGATCTCTCTACGGGCCCTGTCGCTGATTCCGGATGTACCTGGGTACAAAGCATGATCTGCCACCTCCTATTCCCGTTCGGGCCCCGGCTGTGTTAAGTCGGTGAAGTCATTCGTTCCGGCGTTCGAGAGTTCCCGTTCGGGAAAGAGCACTTGTTTTTCGATAACCACTAATCTGTCAAATCACTGTGTTGTCAGGCCTCCCACGTGAAAGTAAGTGAGCATGCGGGCCCCATATAGATATTTTAGAACTGGTTTCTCTTTTAATTATTCCATTGTTGACCATAGACTCTCTTCTATGGTTGATAACCGCATTCGCGGCGTTGTAGTAAAACGGAGTCTAATCTTTCGGTTTTTCCCCGAGTATCGTGTCTCTTGAGGAATGGCGAAGGAGTTTCTTGATTTTAAATTCAGTCACAGGTTATCGCAAATTATTGGAAGTTTTCCGAATTAAAACTTTTGATTGATTTTCTAAACTAGTTTTTGAAAATTAAAGTAATTAAATTATGCAAATCTAATGATGGCTCAAAAATAAACTAAATGAAAAATATTAAACTCTAAATGGATTGATCAAAGAAGGGAAATGAATTGAATAATTAGAAATGGATATATTCTTGGACCTAGTAATTAGGGGAATTAAAACAATAATTGGACTAATAATTTGTTTTCTCATAGACAAGAATAGAAATTACTTTCATTAATTTATCCTATTTCTAGGTTTCATTAATGCATTCAAAAATGGTTGGCTTGAATTAAATTCTAATCTCATAGACAAGACAGAAATAATTCTCCAATATTTTAATTAATAAAAATAGCCAAATTCATTAACTAATTAAACTCATTATTTAAGCAATTTGAATTTATTTCTCATAGACAAGATGTAAATCCCTTTCATTAAAATATCCTATTTCTAGGCCTTATTAATGTGCTTGAATAAAGTTGGCTCAAATTATTTCCTAATCTCATAGACAAGTTAGAAATAATTTTCCAAAATTTAATTAATGAAAATGGCTAACAATTATTAATTACTAATTCATCAATTTGAATAACTAGTCCAATTAATTAATTTTAACCCCTAATTTTCGGCTAACAAGTCAAACCATATTTTTGCATGGTTAACATTATTTTTGCATTTAACAAAATGGTAAATAAATTAACCATTAACAAGGAATTAAACATGTATAATAGCAAAAATTAATCAAAAATAAGATCTTGTCAAAATAAACTTTCTGGAACTACAATATGACTTTTTGGAATTTTCCACGAATTTTTAAACCAAAAATCCAATTTTAACCCTAATTGATAATTTTCCCACTTTTAACTATAAAATACAAAAGGCAATTAAAAATAGGCTAAATTCGTTCTAAATTTTCTATTGACTACTGGAAGTGATATTACAGTGAAATAAACTGGAATTAGGGCCGAAACTATTTTTTACTCTTTTTAAGTAATTAATTTAATTTATGCAATAATAACACCTAATTACCGAAATTAATTAAAAATTACTTGCACTTCGTGAAAATTAACTTTCTTCAGATAGATAACAACCTTGAGGCTAGTGAACAACTATATAATTAATTGGAATGAATTCAACATCAACAACTATTTTATTTAATTTATGGAAGAAAATGCGAAATAGTAGATAAATATTCTGGAAAAATTCGAAGAACAGATCGAGAAAACAAAGCTCAGATTCAGATTCTACTCGTTGAGAAGATGAAAATACATATAAAGAACTTACAATTTGAAACTAAAATGAAGAAGATATGAAGATTTGAAATTTCTCTCTCCCAAAAATCCTTAGAGGTGCGGAAATAGCCAAAGAAGAGGACCTTTTTGAACCGAATTAGGGTTGGAAGAGGTGTGTTTGAGTTCAGCAAAAATTGGGCTATTTATAGCACGAAAAACCCCATAGGCGGCCAAAAAGGCGGCCGCCTCTAACCCTCAACCGGCCGCCTTCCGTCACATCACCGACAGATTTGACGCCGGTCACCATATCCGCCGCAGGCGGTCCGGCAGGCGTCCGCCTGCCGTTCCTGTCTGGCCGCCTGCCGTCAAATCCCACCGGCCGGTGGTTGCTTCGTCGCCTTGTGCCGCAGGCGGCCATCGAAGGCGGCCGCCTTCCGTCCAGTGTCGGCCGCCTTTCGTTTTTCTCCGGTCCGGACTCTTCTTCGTCCTTCTGCAGCAGACTTGTCATTTTATCTTTAAGATGTATGGCAGCAGTATTGCATCTAGTATGTCTTTTGGCTAGCCATGGTATCTTCTTGATGGTTTAGCAGGTCGGGCCTGTACATTCGGTGCTCTCCTATACCAAAGGTCCAGCTTCGGAAATGAAGTTGCAGGGCAAGCGGTGACCTGGAAGATGACTCACACTGATGTCGGTGGAATGGTAGAAGGGTTGCCCTACTAGCTTGGATCTGAAAATCCTCCCCTGCTCCATTTCTTCACAGCATTATCTTTCCTTCTTTTCTGCCTGGCTAAGACCCAACTCTTCCAGAATCTTGTTTCCTCCATTTCTTGCTTAAATCAGTAGCATTTTGTATCACAAAATTTTTCGAAATGTTATGAACACATGTAGCTTTTTGAACAGTTTCCCACAGACGGCGCCAATGTTGAGTTTTAGTCCCGTAGATCCGGAATCCCAACATAACTTCGGATATTGAGGAGCATAAATTCCGTATAAAAGTGAATAATAAATGTAAAAGTGTATGAACTAGCTATTTTTACGTGGAAACCCGGAAAGGGGGCAAACCACGGGACTTTTTAGGCTAACGTCCAAGCCCGCTCTTTCTCATTAATATGCTCTCCTCACCATTAGGGCTGAGCAAAACCGACCCTACCCGAAAAACCCGACAGAATTACTCCGAATTTTTAAGAATGGGTCGGTTGACCCGACCCGAATCCTTGAAACCGACCCGCCAGCCCGATTTGCTTGGCCCGAGACCCAACGGGTAGGGTTCTCCTAATCCCAACCCGACCCGCCCGAAAACCCGACCTAGCCTAAGCCCATTTCCCCCAAGCCCATAACCCATAAGGCCATATTACCCTTATCCGGTTATCCCTTCCCCCACATAACCCTAAGTTACACTCTATCTCTATTCTCTAACTCTCTAAGCGGCTAACCCTAACCCTAACATACACTCTCTACGACTCAGAGCCTCAGAGGAGTGAGAGACTCTGACTTCTCAATTCATCGGCCGCCGTTGGCATCGCTGTAGGGTTGTAGTCCTCAACCTAGTGTAAGTGTGGAAGCCTTGATAGTCTTCTAGCCCAGCGTGAGTAGTTGAGACTTGAGATTTGAGACTGATTCCCAATCATTCTTCTTCGAGCCTTTGAGGTATAAAATACTTTAAAATGTTTGTGCAATGGTATGATTAGTCCTTCATGATGCATGCATGTTCTGAGTTTTCAGTTGTGAACTTGTGATGTTCGTATATATTTCTTAAACTTGCGTGTTGACTGAATGACTGTTGAGTTCACACTTGATTTCTGAGTTCAGTCATGTACAGATCTGTTCGAATGTTTGCTTGTCCAGTTGTCCCTGTTAATTGTTGATCTATATTAGTATATATACACACCTGATGTCCTGATTGAGTTACTGTCTTACTGACTGCATATGTACAACTCTTATAATGCATTCAGAATTTCAAATCTGTTTATTAAAAATATGAATGAAGTGTGGAAGCTATATATTATATAATGAAGTGTGGAAGCTCTTACTGACTCCTTATGTACAGCTCTTATTCATGTGTTGCCTACTTGCCTACTGAGTACTGGCTAGTGTGGAGATGTGGCAGTGATGTATTTATTTGCACCTATACACCTATACAGGTTTTCATGTACATAAACTAT